CATGCAGTACCTGAACATGAATAACATAAAAAACTATCATTACCACCAACATCCATAAGACAAATAGGACATGTTATTATAGTACGTGAAAGAAGAATTAATTTTTTTTCACATTCATAATTATGAATAGTTGCTGCGACTTGTGCGGAAGTTAATTGAGGTTGTAATGATTTTGTTATTGTTGAAGGAAATGGTAGAGTTAAATCAAGTGTTGTTGTTATATTAAGCCATTCAAGGGCTTGTGCGCTCAATAATGTATACCAGAGAAATAGAATTGGTTCATTACTATTATCTAACCATATATTTTTTAGATTTTCTGATAATATTTGTAACTAATAAGAATAAACAAGAATATCAGACTAACGATAGTTTAAAAATATTTTTTATATTCAAATAACATTATACAAAAGATCTATTTCTAAATCTTGTTTTATTGACAATTAGAAAAAAAGAAAATATTTTGTTAGACATACTTCTGTATTATTGTTTCTATGGAAAATGAATTTGCTGGTAGAGATTTAGCATCTTTCTTGGAATGTGAGACTTTGATATCTCGGAAAGAAAATATTCTTCTGAGCTGAAGTTCTTAGCGCATTCTACTGAAAAATAGATCTATCTCTGGACAAAATATCAAATAGAACAAGTGTAAGCGAAATTATCCTTTTAAGGTTTTTTATGTCTTACTCGACTGTTTCATATGCACAGAATTCGAACATCAAAAGCAAACGATCACTTGAAAACATTCCCTCGTTAGTAAAATACGATAGAAGATAATTTAATATTTGATATATATTTGGTAGAATAGAAAATGATAATAATAATAATCCTTTCCGTTCTATCCTATGTAGCAAGATACAGAAACATTTTTCCTATGCTCATCATTGTTTATGATCAACATAGATAACAAAATCTTTATTTTCGCTTAAATTTTTACCTGTTTATTATTCATCCAAATACATTCAAGTTGAAATGATGGTGATGAGATCGATGGATAATCGTTTGGTAAAGTAAAACGAAGAAATATTGGTGGTAAATATTGAACACGACGATGCTGATCTATTTAATATTATTAAAAAGATAATTATAACATAGAATAATTCTAATTTATACTTGAATAATATTCAATATAAAATTCATCAGGTAGTATCACTTCAATGACTAGAGTACCATATATATTTTCTGTTTCTGTAGATTTTTTGTTTATTTCAAATGTTGATTCATCGAGAATACTGGTTAAAGCATCTAATTCGTCTCCTTGTATTTCTGAATCAGCAGTTGACATGATCAATAATCTTGAAAATGCAAATAGAATCTTTTTTTACTATAAACTTCTATTCTTACATAACTATTTTAAATGAGTCATGAAAGGAAGAAAAAATATATATATCATTATTGCTTTTTATTGTCAAAGATAAAACTGCAACATAACAAATTTTTTTTTTTTTTTTATTATTTTTTCGTGTGTTATATATTTTTCAAATATATGATGAAAGTATTTATTTAATGTGCAAATGATCGAACGCGTTATCGTTGAAGTATTTTATCTAAAGAAGAAAAAAATGCTTATGTGAAATATTCTGAGATTCATTCATATGTGACGAAATTTTTCAAATTATTACATTATACAACAGCATTCAGTACCGACTTTTTTAAAGAAACTTTTTATAAGTTAAATATTCAGATACAACAAAAAAAATCTTTTTCAATTCGGTTTTCAGACTATTACAGATTCATGGTGTATGTCTTTCTAAATCAGTTGTAATAGGAAGAGGAAAACAAAACGAATCTTACAAAACTACTGTCTATTTCAAAATATAATGTACTTCACTGTTGTTTCAATAACTTTTGATAGGAACATCATAGAAATCAGCGATTTTTATCTTCTAAGAAAGACTCGTGACTATCAAAGTTTGATTTGCCAGCAATGAATCAACTAGGTGAGTTTTTCAGAAACGATATTTTGTAGGGTGTGAGTACGGCTTTTGATACTTGTTGCACGTTGAGTTTCACCGGTCCTCCGATGAAAACAAATTTACTATAATCTAACACGTACAAATATTTTTTACGCAATTATCTTGAACATTTTCTCACCAATAATTTCTATTATTAGCAATAAAATTTCAAATAAATGCTACCAAAAAGAAAATTCACTATATGATCGTGACTAAGAAAAGTTCGTTTTACGATTTTCATGTAGAAAATTTAAAAAAAAAATATGCAGTTCTGATATTATACAAAACAAAGGACTACAGACAATATGTAAATATTGAAATCAATTATATATATATATATGTTGAAAACGGTTTATTAGATAATTCTATAGAATACGAATTCTAAATATGGAAACAAGTTTTGTAAGGAAGGTTTGATTACAGCTCTTCCTAAGGATCACTTCAGTGTAACACGAATATCAATATATTTGAAGAAATGATTTTTCTAATAACAACCGAAGAACTAAAAGAATAAATTGATTCGTAGAGGCAGATATTTATGCTTATCAAGTCTGTACGCAAAAAAAAAAATTAAAACTTGCCAACGTTATCTATCAGAAGTATAAACGTAAAATTGCTTAAATTTAATCAACAGTACGACTTTAAGGACATACCTTAAGTAAAAATTTTTTTAAGACAAGCTATATGACACGTATACAAAATGAAAACAAGCAATAAAATGTTGCTGAGATAAGATTATAATAAATTATTGACAAAAAATAATATACAAATTTTAACGCTATTTTATTTGATTGAGATGTGATTCACTGCTAACAATGGGCTTATCAAGTTCGTAACACTTGAATTCGATTTCATAACATTTCTAACATCAACAACTACGCTCATAGATGTAAACTCAGAATTTTTCATAAAATCTGTATTACGATCGTATATAATCCTGAACAAACTTCATAGTCTTCATTGCTGATTAAATTTTAGTAGATGATTCTAACGAAAACAAGCTTTAACATTTCTATTGAAGAATAGCACGAAAAAAATTTAATTTCACTTACATTAGAATTTCCAGATCATTTTCACTAAAATTGAAAATTCTGAATCATTATTTGTATTTTATCAATAGATATGTGTATACGATTAACATCATGTTTGACAATTACTAACAATTGTTCGATTATTTAACAACACCATAAAAGTTGAACTATTGATTTTTATTGAATTAATTAATAAGAAAATTGAAAGAATATCTCATATTCATTTAAATGATATAAAGCATAGTGATGGTTAACAACTTAAAAATGATTTATCGTCATCATTGAAAATATGCTAACAAAAACGTAATTGAGACAATGATGATTGCCGAATACTAGTTTTCCATCGTTGATGAGTATATATTTTTTCTTCACTGAGTGCAATGTTTACATGAGTAATATACAAACCAATGGACGATAATTACCAGCCGACATTGTATTGATAAAAAAAAATGATTGGCTGCTCATCCCGTAAATCGAATAGAAACCAACCAAATTTCGTAAGTAGATGTCGATATTTGATTATAACCCTAAAAGAAAAAATTAATGAACACAATAAAAGAGACAACAACTGAGTTTAAATCTTAAGTGCATACCCTATGTTTCATTAAATTATCTATTCGAAATACTATTATAATATAAAAAATTCAAATTTGATTTGAAAACGATTAGATTCTTTCTAATCGATGAAAACATGATCGAATTTGTATCAGGTAATGGACACATTTTTTCTAATGAACGAATTGTCAAGGACAATTATTCTGACTGTCTGAAACAATATATTGCTGTATTCATTTTTGCTAATAAATGACTCGTAACTTTTCCTACTATTTTCACCATGTGATATCATTCCGTGGTAACGTAGTGTGACGAGTGTAGACAACTGAAAAGTTTCTAATATAGATGACCTCAATTTGGATGTATCTCATTTCACGAAGGGCTATAAAATTGACTACTGCTAAGATATGCCTTCTATATTCGAGACTTTCAAAACATATTCTTCTAGGCACTACGGTGGGAGTAGTAATCAGCAAGAATTACATAATGAAATACATATTTTTCTGTTGATTTATACAATAAAAATATAAACTGAAGCATAGAATCTGTTAAACAATTCTGACATTCGAGTAAAACGTTTAAGATTAGCCAAAAACAAAAAAGAGAGAACTTGAAATCGGATCGAGATTTGGCAAACCGATCAATTTAACTTCACTGCTTTAACTGTTTTATTCTACAAATCGTATTTAAGCAAATTTCCTGAAATATCAATGATTAAAAACGTCAAAAATCTGTCATAATCAATAAAACCTATGTTGTCAATTATACAAAATTGGACTATCAAAAATTTGAAGTTATTTTTTTCTTTAAAATCTAGGAAAATTTAAAGTTATTAATGAAAAATAAAGAATTTATTTACAAAAAAGCCCAAATATTCTGCAAAATAATGCGTTCTTATATATATATCAAACAATGAATATATCTGATCAAATAAAATATGACATTCTTTACAAAAGAACAATTTTCCTTAATGCTTAATTTTTATAATAGATCTAAGGTATGGGCAAAAAGTTCGCGACGTTTTCTTATCGATATTAATAGACAAATTTCTAAGAACTTTTTTTCATATAATATACCAAAAGATGCAGCGTGAAAAGCTCTACAATTTGCATAAGACCGCTTTTTTACAGTTCCACTTTTTGTTTTCAAAATCATCAAAACTTCGAGCGACTAAATTTCGACGCTGCGAAAAGATAACACGAACGAGCAGTTATCTTTTTTCTTATTTCATCTTTTCATCACCTGTATATATTGTGGAGCTTTTCACGCTGCATCTTGTGGTATATTTTGTTTTTTTTTTACGAAATCATATTAGGAGATAAACTGATGAAATAAGAAAAAAGAAATGTCTTTTCATGTTATCTTTTCGTAGCGTCGAAAATTGATCGCACAGAATTTTTTTTTTTTTGTATACAAAAAGTAGACAATTAAAATGAGCTTTCCTTCGTGGATTGTAAGCTTTTTACGCTGCATCTTTTGGTGTATTTTGTTTTTTTTTNCCTGTGCTAACTGACACTTCTTCTCGTATACGAGCAGTTAATTTTCGAAGTTGTTCGTCGTCGTCCGACGTAAGTCTAAGGTCCACTTCATAAAGTGGTCTTTCCTTGTCAATTTGTCGAACTTCACCAAATCGAAAAACGGTGTGCATGGAGAAGAGAATTTCCTCTTCTTTCTTGAAGTAACTAACCTCCCGGATGGAGGCGAATGGAGTTGATGATACTGTAGGATCGATGGTCATTATGAAGAGAACGCCGACCAGATCGATTGTTCCCAAGGCATCTTTGGCGAAACCGAGTGAGATTTCTCGATCTGTACTGGTGGATAAGAAATTATTAAAAGAAATAAGACCACCTTTACTTTTTGTGATTTTTTCCAAGTCTTCCTTTGGTAATCCTTGTCCCCGAAAAACAGGAAAGCTTTTCCGATGATACTGACTGACCTGTTTGCTGTGTAATTGTTCAAGTTGTCGGTGTATATCGCACAGGAAGAAACCCATGCGGATGATGATGTCTCCATCCAGGGTTCGCAGAGCTCGATTGAGCATTTTATATGCGAAACATTGGCGGGTATACCACCAAATGGCTGTTGATGGTTCATATGTACGTCCAATTTCTTGAATAAGTTTGAGTTCTTTCTTGTTGTCATGATATTGTTCTTGACAAAATGTCACCAAATCTTGTACGGCCTTCTGACCATGTTCCATGTCAAGAAGAATTTCCTTGAATATTTGTGTATACATGAAGCTGGGTTCTAGCTGATTGAGATTGTGTGTAGAGCTTCCTTCATTGGCACCAATAATACTGACCGTGGTATTGTTTTGATTGTATCGTTTGACAGCTACTTTCAATGCTTGGCGTATGGACTTGATAGTCTTGTGAACACCTTCAATTTTTGTCCAATTTTTAGCCCATTCTTTATGAAGTTGTTTGTTGCGACAAAATATATATATTGTATCAAGCTTTGGCATTGTATGAATGTGTGGTAGAAGATGTTGCCCAAGTGCACCAGAGGAGATAATGAATGAGGTCTCCTCCTTATTTTCATTGAGCAGTGCAATGCATTCTTCCACCGTGGTGCATGTATGCACTTCATTAACAACACCACGCAGTTGCTCGAGCGTATGTTGATAATCTTTCTTTGCCATGTCCATATTTCCATCGAGCCAGATGACGAAATAATTTTCCGCCATGCGTCGTCTTCGTTGTCTACTCATTTTGAGAGAAACTGTTGCCATTTGCTCGATAATGGAGTATGATAGAATAATAAATTGCTGCTTGGACAGACTTTACCTTTAGAATTTATATATGGGATGTTCGTTGGTTTCGTTGACGCTCAAGGACAACTTCTCTCTGGTTGCAATCGATGATATGGTTGTCAATAATAAGAGACAGGAGAAAAAACCAACAACGTCATTTATTTTACGATTATTTCTTTCAACTTTCTATGTATGTTTTATGCGAAGCGTGACCTAATAATCATTGCATTAGATACCTTTTCGCATACGTTATATATTTTTCTTTCATTCTTTGAAAATAACCTTTCTCTCTCTCTCTGACAAGAACGAAAAAGATAACAATCACATCGTTAGTTTGATTTTTTCCCTCATTATGCTTATGATTGTCATGCTGATAATATGAACGAAACAAGAAAAAAAACATAATTTCAATGTTAATTGTGGTAGCAATTGCAAAACAGTTTCTATTTGCCGAATATACTGCTCATCATTAACTATTGATTGAAGTGAAACATTCAAATTATACCTAGAAAATCACGCAAGCGGCTACCGAATAGGTATGCAATAATTTAAGAGCTGTCTAATTGCAGTTATGGGCTTTTGTCGTGCCCCGTTCAGAATCTATATATTATCATTCATAATTTTATTAAAGTGATTTTTGATTTTTACTATATTTGTTCGAAATATGTACATGATTTAAAAAGAATTCTTTTCTTATGGTATTGCAACTGTTCTTTTTTCATTAATTTCAGCGATTCATAAAGAAATAATATTCAAATTGTGTTTGTTCACATTTAAGATTCATACAATTTTAACATATGTCACAATGAACCTAGTACGAAACATCGTTTTATTGAAAACTATTTATACTTATATGTATCTTTTTTAATTCAAATGTAACAAAAACAAAACACTATCAATACATTGCATACGTGATGTCTCTGTTCAAATACACAACTGTGTTTCTCGAATAATAAACAGTAGCTGTAACGTTAATTGGATGATTGATTCTTTTGAATTTCTTCTGAAAATACAACTATGACAGACAAGATAGATCAACAAAAAAAGTTCATTAACAACGAAACAAAAACAAATACAGAGCAGTTGTTATCATTCTTGTCATCGATTTCTTTTTTCGTTCGTGTCTGTATAGTGAGTGAAAATGTGACGATCAACTGGTGACCGATCACTTCGTTGCACGGCACTTCGTCGCGATCACTTCGTCGCAGAACAATTTTCTTTCGTTCTGTTCGTTGCGTCCCTCTCAATTGATTGTTTTTCAAGACATGAAATTGATCAATTTAATTCATCTTTATTTTGTGCATGATACATAAGATAATGATGAACAAATTGAGTACAAAAAAAAAGAAAAAAACCAAACTAGAAAAACCAAAAAAAGAAGAGAAAAATCAAAAAAAATTAAAGAGTAATGTTAGCCGCAATATTTTTTAAGTTATTTTTCGTTCACTGGAGCTCCATTCGAATGACATTGTATTAAAATTTTTTATTGATCCGTTTTCCCAATTAAAGTCATATGCATTAGAACAATCAATTGTCTATTGTTATTGTACACATCCTTTAAAGTGTTTAATTTATTTTAATTTATTTTATTTTATTTGTTTATATTTAAAAAAAGAATCAATTGAGAGGAATACAACGAACAGAGCGAAAAAAATTGTTCTGCGACGAAGTGATCGCGACGAAATGTACTAGTGCCGATCAACTATGTAAACAAAGGACTAGTGAAGAAAAGAAACGCAATATTGTATTTTTCTTACTTGCTTTTTGTGTGATTGCATCTCACGAAGAGTTTTTTGTCAATGTCTACATGTTGTTCTATCGTGCTGGTAATTTTGGAATTCATCAAAATACATTAAAAATCAATTCAACACTGTTAATTACATGACATTCATTCCGTTTTTCTACATCGCCATCGGTATTCAAGTGCCTAATGTCACGAAAATCTACAGACTTAGTATGATTAGCATCATATTGAGAAGGACGTTTAAAATCGAACAAATGTTCAAGATCCAATCCTTTAGAAGTTACATTTATTTTTTCGAGCAAGAACATTTAAAAATCTGTCATAATATAAATAGAATTTTTTCGGAAAGTTTCTTAGTTTTAATAATTTTGCATTTATATCTATGAGTGATAGGACTTGAATATAAGATGAGAATTACAGTTTTGAGCTATGAAGTTCTATGTTTTACTTTGTACTACGGACGATGGATCTGAGGGACCGAAAGCTCCAGATATATTTATTTATCAGATTAAAAAGACATATGTATTACTATGATTATTATTATTATCGTTACCATCGATAGACTTTCATAATCATTATTAATATTGTTTCACATCATTGCCAAAGTCATACATATTGTAATATTACAAAGAACTACTTACCTATTACATTACATATTCAAATAGAATAGATCGTACACATATAGATCTATAGAGAAAAAGAAAAAACACACATCTACAGGTTAAAAACTACTATATAATTCATATAAAAGTTAAAAATAAAAATATCAGAACTATGGAACTGTTTTACTCAGAATTCTAATTCTAGTTTTAATAATGTTTACATTGAAAAAGTTGAAGAGGATCTTAGTATAGAATAAATTGCTAAGAAATGGAAAAAAGGTATTTCAGAAACTTGAACTTGCAAAAGAGAAATTGTAAACCTCTAGCACCTACATTTTGGTTTGCGACTAGATTGATGATGTTAAAGTTGATACACTAACATCTTCAACTGAACATGATCCACAGACTTTATATTTCAATCGACATTAAAAAGAAATCGATGAACGGCGGAGGATTCATCTATCTTGATAAAAATTTAAAGAAAGCAACATGTCATCTTGGAATTTTGTGACTAAAATTTTCATCAGAATCGATAATGGTTACAGATATAGAGCATCGATGTAAGAAATATACCATTGCTTCTAAGTAAAATAATTCAAAATACTAGAAGATGTTATGAATTAACCTTTAGATATCGGGGAAACGTCCTTGTCTCAAGTATCTGACAGCGTCACACATCATCACTCTTGAATATGGAATGGTCGCTCTTCTACCTATGAGATTTTCATGTACTATAGAAGCTTTTAAAGTTCTGGAAATGAATCAAGACAAGAATGTTATTCAGAAGGTTAGGTATACAGTGATTTCAATGCACCAGACAGAATACTATTGAAATTTTGTACGAGTGACAGTTTTTCGACGCTAGAACTCATTGAGATCATAAGATCATTGACGAGAACATTCGGTATATGGCAGGTGAGACTCGATGTTTTAATAACTACTGATCGATGTCTTCGGTCTTTTATAGATAAATGCCAAAAACCTGTAATCAGTCTTTACGTCTGCCCGATAGAAAAATAAATGAATAAATGAAATCGTTTGGAATGATAATTTTATTTTTTTCGAGTTATTGATTAATAGATTAGTGATAATTGGAGCCAGTTTTGTAAAAAAGTGCCCATATTATTATTCATGATAAAATTGCACTAACAATGAAATGAAAATAAAATCTTAGAAACAAAGTAAAATACATATTTAATTTTGTTTACTAACAAAGAATTATTCCATTAGCTTGAATATTTCCGTGTAAAAGAACAAAAATTGATAGAAGAAGGACGGCAGTCAGATTTGTAGTTAACATTCAATTTGTTCAAAGTAATATTTATATCGAAAAGTGCTTCAACTTAAGTTAGACCGAGAGAAATATTGTTTAGTGAATAATGATATGTTTCAATTTTTTTTTCTACACCATTATGTTATATGTGTGAAAATCTTGTTTTTGCAGAGTACAGATTCTGTCAAAAGTCAGATGTAAAAAAGATGAATAAAGAAAATAAGGAAATATTTTTCAATTGATAAAAAAGACTATTATATGCTTAATAATATTTGTATTCGAATGATAAACTAGTGTTATAACAGAATTTGTTAATAGAATTCTTTTCATCAAGATTAATTGGTAAATATCATGATCGATGCTACAATATACCGTAGATGTCCCAATAAATTTTTAACATCTTTCTTTGATTCGTCAATATTGGCATCGAGCCAGACGAGAAGGAAGTTTTGAATAATTCGACGAACATGATCAAAGTGCACAGCAGTACTACTGGTAGTGCGGACGACTTCTGACTCCCTAGCAGTAGTTGTTATCGAGTTTTGGTTGCTCATAATAATGGATGGATGAATGTATGTAGTAAGCACGAATTCGTCTTCCTATATATATATATTGTTTTTTTCTTCCTTCTGTTGACACCTTTTTCGGCTGATTGTTATATCAGTGTGTGTGTTTTGTTAGCCACTTTAAGGATTTCTGTACGTTTGTTCGTTTCAAGAATGGTGATGAAACAACGATGGGCTGAGTTGCGCTATATCAAGCATGCAAGGAAGAAGGGAGAACAAGAATAAAAAGGAATGAAATGTATTATCATCATCCATAGAAAAGAAAAACACGAAAAACCGTAAATTGAATTCATGAGTGTTGTTTTTTTGTTGCCAAACTTTTTTCCCACATACCAAGTAAAGTATATGTGGGAAGCAAGCGACTAGATGAGGAGAATGATGAGGGTGGCTACGACATATACGTTCTTTATTTATTTAATTCTTTGAAAGTAACAAGACTCAAATGCAAACTGTGCCAAAAAAAGAAAGACTTTATTCACTGATTGTTTGATTGTATCATTAAGTGTCATCAAATATACAGAAGACAAACGAGTGTATCTTTATACTTCAAAAGTATGTCTTTTCTTCCTTGTTTGACAACCGAAAATTCTCTGTAAACCCTCATTCTATGGAATTCAATTATCTCTTCTTATTTGAAAGAATATGCCAGATTGCAGCATCTGACGGAGAACCTTTTCTTTTTTGAAATTCTTACTTTTTATGCGAAGAGAAGGGTAACAAGTTTCATACCTGGAAAAATGTTTATTTATTAATAGAAGTACTTTCTTATATGATAATAAAAAAAGGTTGATTCAAAAACGAACAATGCAACTTCACATGCTCTTTAAAACAAAAAAGCAGTTGGCTACAATGACATTCCTTCGAGAATTTTAGGATACGTAATCAAAGTAATATAAACAGAGATAAAGAAAAATATTTCCTACTTTCTCTGAAAACAGCATATTTTTCAACCAGATTATGGTGGAAATCCTATAAAATTTTAGTGAAAAATGGGACTTCAAATGAAAACAAAAATTATGTCGTTTATAAAAGATCAAACCTCGGGCTATCTTTCCATGCATTCATCTAAGTTTCGATTTTTTTTTTGACGAATATTGACTTCTTTCAGAAGGAGAGAGCCTGAAGTACTTTAATAACCCATTATTCATTTATTCAAAAGTTATTGTTTGTTAAGAATAATCACTCATATACTTTCATTAACAAATTGTTTTTATACTTATAGCAATCATTTATCAACTTGAACAATCTTTGTTGTTTTTTATGGATATAAATGCTAAAAATTAATATTTCAAAAACCGAGTTTCCTCCTTTCTGATTGTAGAAAAAATCATGTGTCGATTTTTACTTTTAGGCGTAGAATGAAGAAAAAACAAAAAAAAAAGTTAGACATGCAAAAATATTGACAATGACAACATGAGTCCATCTCGACAGTAAGCTATTTATATATCTATATATAATATGTATATAATAATAATATGCGCTATGGCAAAACAAACAGAAAATAAAAAAAGGGATAAATACAAATGTTTTTGGTTTTTCTTCATCATCAATATTATTTTAGTATTTCGATCATCCAGACTGTATACAAGAAAAAAAACAAAAACAAAACGAAACTATATAAAATAGAATAATAACTAATTCCTAATGATTTGTACTATCGGACAATATGCCGGTAAAAAAGAAATTCATGACAGCCAATTTTGATTACTGTTCCTTGTTCGATTTGAGCAGGTCCATCCCAAGATGACTGATAATATGATTTAGTTAAACAATAACATTTTGATAAATGTTCATTCTCTTGTTTATTATTATTATTGTTATTATTATCAGCTATGATATTTAAACCATAACGAAGATCGTCAACAATTGTTCCATATTCACTATAATTTAATAATTCAAATAAATTATTTTTTCGATCATAATATAAACAAGCATGTCGTTCAGAAATATATTGACATGTATGAGAATGATTAAAATTTTTCAAACATATATCATTTAATGGAGATGAACCAAACCAAATAACGTGTTTTCGAATATAAATAACATTTTGTGAATGTAAATGAATAAGAGCAGCATGAGATAAACGAAATTGTGAAAGATCAATTAAATGTAACAATGTATTTGTTAAGGATGTTCTAAAACAAACAGATGTTAGACTAAATTAACAATGATATTTAAAACAAGCAATTATTTACAATATTTGATTTTGTTCAAATGAATCTTCATCAGTAGTAGTAGTAATAAGAACATTGCAACCATTTGCTTTATTTTTTGTACATTGTTCTAATGTATCATTAGGTTCATTCAACACTTGTAATAGTGTATCAATTCTATTAAAAGTATTACATTCATTTTCTGATGAAGATTTCGTTAGATGATCATTCTCAATGAATGAATTGTCTATAGATGAAAATTCATAAATATGATTATTAACAATATGATTAAGTATTGCTTGTAATATTTCCCATACACATGGATCATATGCAAATGAAGTTTGATTGGATACGAGACTAGTCTAAAGCAAAACAGATAAACTTTTGATTGTTTTTTTTTTCTAACGAATTGTTATAAAAGTGGAATGAGGAATATGATTGAATTGAGTTTAGCATTCAAATTATGTTCAATGATGCCCCTAGAGGTGTAATTCGATGCATTGATCGGCAACTGAAAATTTCGATGAATTTTTTAAAAATTTTCAAACGAAAAGAGAGAAAATGATGGTAGAGAACTTATTGACCAGAAACTAGACACTAATAACTTCAAAATTTGATTTAGAACACCAGAAAGTTTTAAGAATCAAACACCCATGATGAGTTTCTAGAGCTCTCGAGAGAAATGGTTCATGCTTAACCTCTTAGCTCCCATAGCAATCTCATAAGAGTCACGAATGAAATAAGTACTGAAATAAAATATGATTTTTACTATGAAGCCTTACTTAGAAATTTTTGAAGTTTTAAGGGTTTCTAAAATACGATAAAATAACATTTAAAACACTCTTTTCTTCATATGAAGCGGTAAAAAACCTCCTTCCTAACAAGAGTAACCTGCTAGAGGAGCGGTGACCTTAAATAAAAATTTTTCATTGTTAATATTCTTATTATCTGTGTTGTTTTCTCGAAAAGATGATTGTCAGATAAATCAAAACGAAATAGAATAGTTTTTATTCTTTAAATTTATTATTTTATATTGAAATATAGTCAAGTTTATGCGGACAATTTTTTATTTCTAGCTTGATGTTACCCAATGAAAATAAATTTTTAAAAGAATACAAGAATTTTAATTTTACCTGTACAATTTTTTCCTCGTTTGAATTATTAATTTCAAATTTACAAATGTCTTGTTGTTTAGTATTTGCTTTCAAATAAAAATCTTCAATAGTTTTAGGTATTTGACTTATATTAATACGTTCTAATTGAGAATGAGTTTTTGTTTGTTTTATATGTGTAAATTCTTGTAGAATAATATTTTGTTCAATTTGTGAATATTGTTGATAAATTTTTACTCGTTCACTAATAGAAAATTTTTTTTTCTTTGTTAAATAACGATCTAATATTGGTTCGATATGATTTGGACACATCCATTTTTCATTTAGTAATGGTAATGATATCATTGGTGGTGTTAAACAATCTAAATGATATGTTAATAAACAATAATCACAATGTATTGATGGTCCTTGTTTTAAAGAAGATTTTCGACATATAAAACAATATTTTTCAGATGTTAAAGAATTTTTTTGATTATAATTATAGATTGAATCATTTAATGTTAATGATGGACCATGAAATTCTTCTAATTGACATGAAAGAAAAAAGTAATGTAATGTTTCTAAATGAGTATTAGGAATTTTTATTGAATCTAGAATAGGAGAATTAATTGATGATGAATCATTTCGGTTTCGATTGAGATTCGTTGAAGGTAATAATAAAAATTTATTTTTATCATTATTATTAGTTGTTGCACGAAATTTTATTTTGCCTGATGGTTGTAACAAAGATCGACCATTTGATGCTAAATAAATAAAAATCATATTTAGATATGAGTGATTTGTCAAATGTGAGTATCTTACAAAAGTCGTAGTCCGAAATCTTGCATATATTATTTGGGTTATAAATATGTGAGAATAAAATTAATATCTGTACCAGAATTATAGAGCGGTAGGTAATAAGCTCAAGACCTAGACAACGGCAACAGCTGGTGACCTACAGCATTTAGTACTTGAAAGAAGAAAACTTCGGATCTCTTTTTGTCTGATACTGTGAATGACAACATTATTTTAAAACTTCTCGTCTTCGAAACACAATCCATCAAAACGATATTTCATTTCGATGTAATTTTGATTTTGCCATATGCTTCAGATTGGTACTTCAATGCAAAGCAAATTAAACCACGTACTTATTCGATCAAATTACATCCCTGAGCAAAAACCTTCCGCGCTCTTCTCATATAAAAGCCTTTTGGTCTCAAGTGAACGTTACTTCTAACAATTGCTAAGGTATTTAATTGTAGTGTACTGTATGCTTGATGACAATCTGCATCAATGAAGAATTTGTGTTTCACTACAATTGAGCAACACCGTACTATTCGGTGTGAGTGTACATATGGATGAAGAAAAGACAGACTCACACCCTACACCTTGTATAAGGATTGTACATTTCCATCAAATCACCGTCATTTCTCATGAATTTATAGCAATAAGATATCATGCTGTAGTTTTTCATGTGATTTTTGACTTGTATTTTATATTTAACGGTTTCTTTAGTTAAACAGGTATATATATCGTACTCCCCTCTACTATACAGTCATATAATCCGATTAAATTAATATCATATAGATTTGATTAGATGACTTAAAACTAAAATACAGTGCAAGACTTTTGTCGTCAACTATAGATTAAAAACGACTATGACCGGGACTAAAAAGAAAAGTTTCGTCTTGCATATCTGTTCTCACATTTCGCAAGATCATTAAAATGCTATTGATAGATACTATGAATGATTAATAAAATACCTGTTGGCAATTTTAGTTTTCCTAATTTTGAATGATAGTGTTGATTTCTTTTGGAAGTATTAATATGTAAAGTTTTTTTTGGATTAAATGAAAATGGTAAAATAATTTTTTTTTGTTTATTTTGATTTATTACATCTTCTTGTGTTTTTGTTATAGTTCGACAATTTTCACAAAAATAAGAATCTTTTGGAATATCTTCTTTTGATAATGGTGGATTAATACAAAGAAGGTGAAATGTTGCCGAACATGTATTACATGATATCATTTCACCAAAACATTCACCACACGTATTACAATAATCATTATTAATCATATGATGATGATGAATATGAGTTTCGTTTATATTTGATGATGGTGATGTAATATATTCGAAATTTGAATGTGAATATGGTTTTAGTTTTTTTGTTGAATTATTATTATTATTGGAATCACTATGTATGAGACGTTTCTTTTTTACATCATTTGTTTTTTGGTTCTTATTAAATCCTTTCATTGATTGTGCCTCATTAATAGTTATTGATGTAACATTTTTTGATTTTAGTCTTTTATTTACTGCTATTCTTTCATTATCGTTTGTATTTGGTTGACATTCTGCAATGTCTAGAAAATTAAAAAAAACAACGAATTGACTATTGATTTTCAATATAAACTATCCATTCAGGAGCACTCTGGTGTATTGTGAGGAAAAATAGATTTGTGAGAGTTTACTGGTAGAACCGAACGGTTATCTCGATATACGTTTAATAGGCTGCAACAATTACATTCGAAAAATGAAGCTATGGTAAGAAATAATTGAAGTTTTTTCATTGGTTTTATATTTCTGTAAGAGAATATGGAATTCTATAGTCATACGAAAGATGCTTCGTCTATTTAATGCTTTTTTTTCTGTCACTGGTAAATAAATCCAACTGAAAATCTATATTTTAAGATATGCAGAATCATGAGTTTATTCTTGCACATATTTTCAAAAGATCTACTAAATGACTATCCTTTTCATTCAATTTACATTTTAATCATTTATTTACTAAACAAAAGCAAATACTTGCATTTGCATGCATAAATTATGTCCATTAAATCAAGTATGTACGAACCTCATTAAGAAAAAAAAGCAAACTAATAGTAATATTCGAAGCCTCTTGAATTATACTCATGAATAAAAGTCTAATCATTTAATTCACTATACGTGCTAGGAGCAATTTTTATATTGGCATCAGAATACTATTTATTCTTGGAATGAGATATTACTAATAAACTGAACTTTTCTGAAAGACATTCGTCTACAATAAACTATAAGACTTCTATTTTTGAACATTTTTCTATACGATCTGTACAAATGGGATCATGTTTGACCACAAGAGTTCTTGAACACGAAACATTTGAAACTTTTTAAAGATTTTTAGATATTCTATATGTATAGATGTCACTTGTACTGAACAAAGGCAAACACAAATGGTAGTTGTTAACCAAAATCGAGAATCTTTTTTCGTGCAAAAAAGGTCTTCTTGCCTTTTATCACATTTCGAACGCTGCTATATCATTTTTAAAAAATGAAAATACTATTAGCATTATCGACTGCTAGACTGCAGTTTGAGATTAGTAATAGGTCACCTTTCTTGTGCTGCCAAAGCTGTAAAAACTATGTCTTATTAGTGAGCCTTTAAAAAAGTCGATCAGTGCGTTACTGAAATGTTTTACTAATAATATTTTTTCAGAAACAAACTTCACCATCGTGAAGTCTGTCGTCTTAGCTACACATACAAATGAAAATAGTTTGTTTACAACGCGAAAATTTCTACTAATGTGAAAATTTTTGAAGAGCACAAATGAAAAGAGTTGTTTTGGAGAATGTGTTAAGTCGTCATAGTTCAACCAAAAGAAATAAAAGTTTTAGTGAAAGTAGAACTTTCATATATGTTGTTGTAGTGTAAATTTCAACTCTTTGTCACATCTACTTGCTAAGTTATGACAGTCTGAAGATCAAAAATGAATGACTGCATTGCTTTTGGACAGAAAGAATACTCCTGTCTTTCGGCTATCTTGTGGCAGTTTCAATAACTCGATATCTTTCCTAGAACTATGAGTAGCTGTAGCTCAGGACACAAAAACCAGTCTAACACAGAGTTCTTGCGTTAAATTGTTCGAGCTCCTAATGCATACTTGTCTAGAGTCATTTCATGACTGATGATACTGAGATTTGGATAAAGTACCTAGTGGATAAGCGCCAGGAATAGACGGAGCTGTCTAGCGCTTTGCCTGCATTTTTCTGTTCTTCCTTAATGAACACGTCTCGAGAGTGTAATAAGCGCTACATGCATGAAAACGTGCGACAGTTTCGTCTATCTCTCATAAATGTCGAACAACATAGCCACTTATCTGCGACAACTTAGCCGTGGACAAACTGTAAAAAACTAATATTTCTACGGTTATATTATGCTCGCAGATACAGAGTCCAACGCATTCTTTTTGTGCATTGCTTACATATTGTACCTTAACGTATTATGCATCTAAGAACATTAACAGTGACAACTTATTCTTTTTTTGTTAGTTATTTAATCAATGAGTTAACAAACAATTAGATATTATTAGTTGTTTGTTAGTATCACTTATAGAATTTTTCTTTCATGTTGGTCATACTTTGTTTCGTTTCATATAATATTTATAAACGCAAACAAAATCATAAAACAAACCATTTATTCCAAAATTTGATATCGATGATGAAGATGAATGAAAATCATTTGTATTATTCATCGTTTATTATCCATATTAAAAACACGATAGAGATTGTTCTCGATGATCTAAAATCAAGCGAACAAAAAGAAAAAAAAATCAAACATACCATCTTTAAATTTCAGTAAATACACATACAACAATAATAAATGAAAATAAATAATGAAGAAAACAAAAACAAGAACAAACCATATGAACATAAGAAATAATGTTTTTCTTTTTTCTTTTATGGATCATCAATCTGAAAGACATTTCTAATCGAATAAGTCATTGTTGTTCACTGTATATATATACAAAACAAGGAAACAAAAAAGAAAAAAAGAAACAAGAATAAAACAAACATATCAGCTCCGTTGATTCGAACTATTTAATAAAAGATGTGATGGTCCATAAATTTCAATTTCTTCTTCTTCATCATCATCATCATGCTCTGTTATAATGGATTTATGATAACCATTTGCATCATTTGTCTTATTTAATATATCACCGTCATGTTTAATTGATGGTAGTTTTGGTAAATTTATAAATGTTTTAGGAGAAAAAAGTATATAGGAAATAATTAATATACTTAAAAAGTTAACTAATGTAACAACACTTATGATTAATTTAACTCGATATAGTTCTGTAACAAATGACATTATAAATAATAATGCTGTTGGATAAATAAACCAAACCTTTGTTTTTTTTTTAAATAACAAAATTTATATATATAGTTTTTTTTAATAGAAAATATTTCTTACCATACAACAAGCACCAAAATGATGAAAAAATTGTAGTTTTTCTAAATTTTTTTCTTCCTGTGTTGTTTCTTTTAATTCAAATACAAATAAAAGCATAAGAAAACAACGAAATAATAATGAAAAATAATTTGCAAATGTTTGGTAATGATTGGAATCCGTTGCTGGATTTATTGTCATTATACTTAATATATAACAAGAACAACAAGCTATTGTGTAGAGAACAAATAACATAACCGTCTTTTTCCCTTGACGAAGTACCGGTGTATTTACTAACCAACCTATAATTAAATACAACACAATAGTTTATTCGTTAAGCCCATTTGAAATTCACATAAGATCAAGACCATTCAAAAATTTCACAAAAATTAGGTAGAAAATAAATAGCAAAATAGAGAATGATCACCACCGATTTTCCAACGTCTATAAATCAGGCATAATCTTTATTCACATTACACGAAATTATAGAGCAAATCATTTTTTACAAAACGAAACATCTTTGAGCTCTACGTGACGGGTTTTCATCGAAATACATCAGATTTACACAAGACTTTAGATAGAATTCTTTTGTCAAGCCGTTATTCTTGCAATTATCACTAGAGTGAGCAAACAAGAGTGCATCTAATCGATCTTTTCATACTATTAAGACATTAGAGACACCGATATTCTCTTCTAATGATTGTTTCATCGGGCTTTGAATACTTGCTCGCAGGATTGTAGGAGTGAGTGTGAATGAAGAAAAGATCTAAGCCACCACCCACATCAATATACAGTATCAAGCTGCAAGTTTCATCTAACTCGAGCCCGACAGCAATTATTCGTTTACGCAACTCTCTGCCTACTGTTTTACCAGTGGCTCTTTTGAAACCACTATGGAGGTAAAGAGTTAATATTATTATTATTCTAACTATTCATTTAACTGACAAAAAAATCTGTTATATGTATTCATTATATCTGCAGTAGGTCTTCAAGGCACTATTATATATTTCGACAAGCTCAGAAACATTGATGTTGATCATATGACGACGATGACAAATCAATGAATCACTATCTATTGTCCTTGACACCTTAAAATACGAACTTTTATCTGCACAAAAATTCAAAAGTGCACAATCTAGAAGATTAGCAAATAATTTTCTAGTCTCTCCAATTTCGAAGGGACTTCTAATTCTTCTTGTTAAGGTCTTTTTCGTTCCTAAGAAACTTCAAAAACTGCGTTTGACCCCGACTTGGCCTCGATTGCTGTGAGAATGTACCCAATGCCCGCTGCTATCTTCTTTTCCTTTTTGCTATGAGCAGCGAGGAGGGAGACAGAGTTATAGATCACGGAGGTGATGACATTCACTTTCCAAAAATTTCTTTGAAAATCATGACAGAAAAAGAATTTTAATTCTGCTTCTGTCAGAGATTCACGCGAAGACGTTGTCTGACGAGTTTTCACCCTCTTCCATTCTTAAGAACAATCAGAAACCCCGATGAAGAGAAGCCACAAAACTATGACATCAATTTTTTTACCTTTGGCAATAAATAAAAGTAAAAGAATAAGAATTGATTCACCAATTACCGTAATTAAATTTCCAATATGTACTAATATATAAACTCCAATACCATTATATGCAAAAATAAAATAATGTAATAAATTCAAAGTATTACCAATAAAGAATAATAATTGAAATAAAAAATACGATATTAATATTGGATGTTTCATATCAATTAATGAACGCATTTTAATTATAAGAAAAGGTAGTGGAATAAATAAATATAATAATATACAAACAGAATATACTTCAACAAGATCAAATATATCAAATGAAAAATGATATTCAAAACGATTATCACGAGTTTTTGCTTCCGGATTCCCATTTACAATCCATACATCATAATTGATTTGAAAATCATCATCTACTTTTTCCCAATGACATGTCATCGGATTCCAATAACATGATATTAAACTTAAATACCAAAATCTATAATAAACAAGTTTCGTATTTCAATTATAACCTTTTTAAAAAAAATCATCACTCTTGCTATCGATTATATAACGATAACGGTTTTTTTTTCAAATAATCCTAGTTACGAAAATAAGTAACATAGTAAAATAATGAATTCAATTGAATATTTTATTTTGGTGATAGATTTATATCAGAAGATTTTCAACTGAGAGAAATTCTGAAAAACATGATTTATTTAGCTAAGAGTAAACCAGCTATATTCTATTATTGGTAAGATATATATGCCACCCATTGATATGCTTACAACGGTTTATGCATAATAAACATTTAAACCCCCCTACGCCATAGAAGACCTCGGATGTTGTATTATGGTAAAATAGCTAAATGCCGAAAGGAAAATGTCGAAAGTAATGATGCCGAGGATTTGGGTAAAAAGAAGATGTACTTCCACATCTACAATTTTATTGGTAGATTTCTCATAATGTACCTTTAGGTGACAGAAATTTGTTCGATGCCATTTTCTTCGACTATAAGCTTTTAGGCATTTTCACCTTTCGATATTTAACCACCTATTCTTCGATTATGACCAAGCGTATAAATTTCTGAGGAGTCTTCTATTGTTTCATTTATTTTCATAAGTTTGTTTAGCTATAAAGAGACATGTTTTGATGTAATTATACTGAAATTCTAAATTTTTCGGGAGATCAATCAACTAAAATGAGGTCTTCTATTGCAAAGAGAAGTTTAATATATTTGGTTTTTTCTACCGGCCAAAAACCATTGTATTTATTACCATTGATCTCATTAGTTTTGATGACACAATTTTAAAAAACAACAGAAATTTCTATTTTAATATTGAAAAATAAAAGTAAACAAACCTTGGTTGATTAATATCACGTATTTTAAATGTAAATTGTTGATTGTGTATAACATTTTTTGGTTGATCTTCATCAGGACATAATTGATCTTGTTCGCATGGTATATGACGCCAAAAATCTTCTGTACCTTGATCATTACATTGTCTATGAAATGCAATTGTTTGTATTTGTTTCATCATATCAGAACATGATTGCATACGTTGTTTTTTATATAATGGTAAAAAATAATCATAATCAAGAATAAGAAATAAAATTGTTTTTGTTAATGAACAATTATTAGTTTGACAATCAAGTGTTATATTACCATATATGTAACCAAATGTATCATCTGGACGATGTTGATCAGTTTTTTGTATGCCAAATTTAGTTAATAAACGAAAAAATTCTTTTGTTGAATATTGACCATGTAGATGAAGTGCGAAAACAAATGATTGAGTAAAAGAGTGAAATAAAATAAAAAAGATTATCAATCGTATTAACATGGAAATGAAATTTGAGAGAGAAATTTTTTGTTGCTATTTTTTCCTTCTAAAATAAACTGTAAGGAAAAAAAAAGATGAATAGAACACTTAATAATCTATATATATTTTTTTATGTATAATAAACAAGCGGAAACACATAGACAAGACAAAAAGAGAAATATTATTTGATTGGTTTAAGTAGAGGTCACTCAAATTCGATGTTTAATAAGAATTCAAAATTAGGAAAATTATTTTTTGAAAAAAAATAATTATTTTTATATTGAAAAGAAATTTTTATTGAGAAATATTTTAATTAAAATTCATGATTAATTCAAGTATGAGAGAACAGTTGGTAAATGAAGGATCATTTTGTTTGGTTGTTAAAGAATCAATAAGAAAAATACTGACGAGTGTTCGTAGTTATTTATTTATTTCTTTTCGAGTCAATAGGTGGAATAGAATAGATAGATGAAAGTAAACTTTTTTTCAAATGATAGAAATTTCAAATTATTGATAGGATATTTATGATTGTTTGATAGAAGAAATTTTAGTTTAGTTGCTTTTCTCAGTTGATTTTGGTTCAAATTTTTTGTCTTATGTTATCATAATTCATATTAAAGAATAACATTTCTTTTTTTAGATACTGTTTTCGATCAATTAAATAACAGCAAAAAAAGAAGATGCCAAAAACGGCCCTTGCACGCAAGAAAGCTGTAAGTTTATTTAATCAAAATCATTATGACGAACTAAAATCTTTTCTATATTTTAGTTACAACCAATTGGTTTTCGTGCCCAACCAATAATTATTGATGGTCGTGGCCACTTAATTGGTCGTTTAGCAGCAACAGTCGCTAAAACAATATTACAAGGTCATAATGTTGTCATTGTACGATGTGAAGGTCTTAACATTAGCGGATCATTTTATCGAAATAAACTTAAATATTTGGAATTTCTTCGTAAACGTTGTAACATTAATCCATCACGTGGTCCATT